TTTTTAGACAAGGGCTCACTATGTAGACCAGGCTGGCCTCAAATTCACAGAGATAACTCTTGCCTCTGCCTCCCAAGTGCTGAGATCAAAGGTGTGCACCACTCGACCTGAGTAGGCAAAATCGATTTCTGAGTACCGACTTCACAATTAGTTCATCATCCGGAAGATTCAGTGGGCTTCTAGAGCCTAGAGATTTCACTGTGGGTCCACTCAGAAGGTGTGACTAATGAAGTCACTGGTCATGTGACCAAACTCAATCTCCATTGCACTTTTTCTCCTCCTTAGAGGTGATGAGATGGCTCAAGTCCCATCCCTCAGATGCTGGTGACCCAGCCTCATCCTGAAGTTGTGGGGGTTGGGGTCAGCCTCATCCTGAAGCTATAGGGTGTGTGTGGGGGGGACCCTTCAAGGGCTGCTCTGTCTCATTACTGTAAGTGCAGGTGTGACCCACAAAGTTCAGGAAACTGAGACATTTCTAGTCCTTGGCAAATCCCAGAACATAATACACATTCGACAAATATTTGCCAAGCAGAAGGTACACTCAAACATCAGAAATTGTCAGGGGGAAGGAAAACAGGCCCCAGGGTTCTTCCAGCTGACCGGAATAGAGTATTAGCACACAGGTGAACACAGGAAGCCATGAGAACCAACATGACCTTACATTCCAAGCACAGGAGCAACTCCGTTCTCCCTGGTCTATTACGAAACACCTTGTGGGTAGACAATGGAAAGGAAAACTATTTTCTTTTCTTTTGAAACAGGATCTCATTACACATTCCAAGGCTCCCTTGGACTTATTATGTAGCCCCAGTTGGCTATGAACTTGGGCTAGACCTTCCTCAACCTCCTGAGTGCTGGAGTTACATGCTTGCCCCATCCCCCAGCATGGCTTACTTGTAGACAGGGAATCTGCTCGAGTCCATTTCTCATTGTAAATGAAGAAGCTGATATTTGGAGCTGGATAGATGGCTCAGCAGGTAAGAGCACCTGATGCTCTTCTAGAGGACGCTAGTTTGAATCCCAGCATCTGCAGGGCATCTCATAACTTTAACTGGAGTTCCAGGGGGCTCCAACATCCTCTTCTGGCCTCCACAGGCACAAGACATGCACGTGGTGCAAATAGGTACACACAGGCAACACCCATATGCATAAAATAAAATAAAAATAGAAGCTCATAGATATTCTAAGTAGATCAACTCCACAGGCACAAGACATGCACGTGGTGCAAATAGGTACACACAGGCAACACCCATATGCATAAAATAAAATAAAAATAGAAGCTCATAGATATTCTAAGTAGATCAACCCCTTTGAACTCTTTGTCTCAACCATTAGCAGATTTCCCCCCCTCCTCTTCCTCTCTTTCTTATTCTTTTGAGACGGGGATCTTACCACACAGCCTTGGCTGGTGGCTGGCTTTGTAAATCAGGCTATCCTTGAACCTATGGCAATCCTGCTGTCTCTGCTCCCAGTGCTAGGATTATAGGCACGGTCCACCATGGCTAGCAAGAACTGTTTCTGTGTGTTATTGGGTATCAAACCCAGGGCCTTACTGATGCTCAGCAAGTGCTCTATCACTTAGCTTACGAGGCTACAAGCCAGACACTTCCTGTTTTAGTGTGGTTCCTGCTGTTTTTGATAAAACACTGACCAAAAAGCAACATAGGGTGAAAAGAATTTGTTTTATCTTACACTTCCAGGTAACAGTCCATGATGAAGGGAACTCAGGGCAGGAACCTCCACGCAGGAACTGAAGCAGAGGCCATGGCGGGACACTGCTTGCTCTCCGGCTTCCCAAAGTTTGCTCAGCCTGCTTTCTTTTTTTTTTTTTTTTTTGGTTTTTCCAGACAGGGTTTCTCTGTGTAGCTTTGCGCCTTTCCTGGGACTCACTTGGTAGCCCAGGCTGGCCTCGAACTCACAGAGATCCGCCTGGCTCTGCCTCCCGAGTGCTGGGATTAAAGTCGTGCGCCACCACCGCCCGGCTTCAGCCTGCTTTCTTATACAGCCAGGGCCACCTGCCTGGGGGGAGCACCCCCCCCCCCCCAGTGAGCTGGGTCCTCTATATCAGTCGTTCATCAAGAAAATGAACCATAGATGCCCACAGGTCAGTCCGAGGGAGGCAATCCCCTTAATTGAGGCTCGCTCTTCCCAGGTGACTCTGGTTTGACTAATCAGCATAACTGGCCAAGAGTCGGTTTTGGATTCCGGGAAGTTCTCACAGTTGGTGCCATCCTGGGAGGTTCTAGGAACCCTGGGAGATATCCTGACACACTCTCTGCCTCTGTATTCCTGGGTGTGAGCTGTGGGATTCACAACATTTCTAACATAGTAGAATTCCAGAAGCAGCTCCTCAAACTGGATCTGGGTGACTTGAGTGTAGTCTCAGGAAGGCATGACTAAAATGTGGTTGTAACTGAGAAAGCTTAAGCCTAATTCCACTTGGCGTGGAAAAGAGAAAAAAAAGCATGTGAGAGATGAGATCAGCTCCCGTCTAGAATCTGAGCACCCAGAATGTGAAACCAAAGGTGATTGCCTGGCTGTGTCCTGAGTTGGGAGCCACTGAATCATGTACACAAGGCTGGTGTGACTGGAGAAGCTATTCTTCCTTTTTCTTTTTCTTTTTTTTTTTTTTTTTTTGGTTTTTTGAGACAGGGTTTCTCTGTGTAGCTTTGCGCCTTTCCTGGGACTCACTTGGTAGCCCAGGCTGGCCTTGAACTCACAGAGATCCGCCTGGCTTTGCCTCCCGAGTGCTGGGATTAAAGGCGTGCGCCACCACCGCCCGGCCCTTTTTCTTTTTTAAAGTTGTGTGTGTACAAACAAGTCTTGCTTCCATGTATGTGCGGACCACGTGCATGCAGTACCAGCAGAGGCCAGAAGAGGATGTCAGAGCCCCTGGAACTGGAGTTAGAGATGGCTGTGAGCTGACAAGTGAGTGCTGGGAACCGAGAGATCTTAATCACTGAGCCATCTCTCCAACATTTCCAGCTCTCTTTCCTTTCTGTTTTTGTTTTGTTTTGGAGACAGGGTTTCTCTGTGTAGCCCTGGCTGTCCTGGAACTCACTCTGTAGAACCAGGCTGATCTTGAACTCAGTGATCCACCCGCCTCTGCCTCTCAAGAGCTGGGATTAAAGGTGTGCGCCACCACCACCTGGCCCTTCTTTCCTTTCTTTCTTTCCCCCTTTCTTTCTTTCTTCCCTTCCTCCCTCCCTCCCTCCCTCCCTCCCTCCCTCCTTTCTTTCTTTCTTTCTTTCTTTCTTTCTTTCTTCCTTTCTTCCTTCCCTCCCTCCCTCCCTCCCTCCCTCCTTTCTTCCTTCCTTCCTTTCTTTCCTTCTTTATTTATTTTATTTTATTTTTATTTTTTGGTTTTTCTCTTTGTAGTTTTGGTGCCTGTCCTGGATCTCGTAGCCGCCGCCGCCGCCGCCACCCCCCCCCCCCCCCCCACAACCACCTGGCTGTTTTTGTCAGTACTTTTGATGTGTGGTCGTGCACATTAGACAAGTGCTCCATGATTAAACTGGCCCCCCCCCTCCTGCCCTCTTCGCCTCTCTGGTAGACATGTTTGCCTTGCTGCAGCCCTCAGACCACAGTAGACCCCCTTTAGGATCCTGGCCTATGGTTTCCCTCTTTGGGTCTCTTCCTGGCCAGGAGTTCATGGTTACAAACCCTCCATGCTGTCTGCAGTCTGATTTCTGTATTTCAGTTTAGATTTTAAAAATATTCACTTAAATTCTTGTGTAAGTGTGTGTGCCTCAGTGGATGTAAGTGCAATGCACGTGTGCAGGAGCCCCAGGAGGTCGGAAGAGGGGTCAGGTCCCCCGGGAACTGGGACAGACACCTGTGAGTCACCTTGGGAATGATGGGGACTGAACTGGCAGGAGCAGTGAATGCTCCTAACCCATAAGCCATTTCTCCATCCCTTGCTTTGTTTTGTTTTTAAAACAGCCTGCTTCTTTGGGGATACTAACTGTGAATACTTTTGAGACAAGGTCTTATGTATCCCAGGCTGGTCTTGAACTCCCTTCCTGTACAGCTGAGGATGTCCTTAGACCCCTAATCTGCCTGCCTCTGCCTCAGAGTGTTGGGGTTACAGGCAGGCTTTAGCACAGCTGCTTCATGAAGTGCGTGCAATCCAACCCAGTGCTTCACGCATGCTAGGCGAGCATTTTACTAACTGAGCTACATCCCCTGGAGTATTCTTTTTGGAAACTAAATTCGGGCCAATTGCTCCATAACTCCTGCCTGGTAGAATATAATCGATGGACGGGCCATAAGGCTGCCTCTTCGTAGTTCCTTCAAAAGAGCTCAAACATGATGGACCCTTGCTCTCTCGGCTCTTCTTACCCTAGCTTCTCCGTGTCTTTTCTGAGAACATGGCCTCAGCATCCACTCAGTACACCAGCACTGTGTTTTCTGGCCCCTGGATATGAGTGCCACGGAACTTGGAGCCTTCCCTCTGTAACCTGTGTATCTCACACAAAGCCCTTCACCTCAGCATTCCCGCTTCCATTTAGGTTTGAAGCTGTGGACTGAGATGCGATTCCTGAGGCTTCGGACTTGCTCCGGGAACGTGATTCCCTCATGCTCCCCTCGGCAAATGCTGGTTTTATTTCATCTGAAGGAAATGGGCCTTTAACTCCCGACCAATCGAGGGACATAAGCAGGAAAGGAATTTGCTTTTCTTAGAAATAACAAGTCGGCCTTTTCCCAAGCAATGAGATGCCCCCAGAATGGGAAAGGTGGGTTGCCAATCTTTATGCATTCAGTATACACTTGAATCTGGTCAACTGAATACCAGTTATCAATGGATGGATGGATGAAAGAGGGGGAGGAGGGGGAGGAGGGGAAGGGCAGGGCTGGCAAGAAAAACCATTTTGTTAAGGTCTCCCCCCCCACCCCGTTTCTGGTTCTGGAATATCAAGATTGCACATATAGTCCAACAGCTTTGCCAAACTTGGTTTGTCTGGCAATTGCCTCACACGTTCTGGAATGCGTTTTTTGTCGTCTGGAGTCCCCTCCCCTTCACAAGCCCAAGCTATTCTAAGCGCTGATTTATTTGTTGTTGACTTCATCACTCACTTTCCTTGATTCTGTCCCTCAACTCCCTCCAAACCTCGCTCTCCCCTCGCCCTGTCACCCCCCGCCGAGCACAGCACCCATCCAGAGCGAGAGCTCCAGGCCGTGGTGTTCTTCTGGCCCACAGATCCCAGTCGGGACCACACATCCGACCCTCCTCGGGAAGAGGGCGAGATCCCCGCCGCTCGGTTTTCTTTCAATGGTCTGTGCAGCCTGAGATGCCCGTTTCCCCAAAGGCTGCCCCTCATTAGCATGAACGGGGGTGGGGGGGTGTGTGGAGAAGGGGTGGGGGGAGAGGAAGCCAGCCAAAGCCCTCGCTGCGTTTTCCAGCCCTGGGAACCCTGTCTACAAAAATGACAGCTCGAGTCCTCTGGCTTCTCTGTTTGATCATCGGATGGTCCCCCGAAGCCCCGGTGGCGGAGAGAAAAGGTGAGGTCGCTGAAACGCAGCGCCCCAGGGACCGGGAAAAGGGCGCGATGCAGGGCGGGACGAGCCAAGGGTCAGAGCCTGCGGGACAGGCGACTCCGGGTCTACGTGCGTGCCAGCGAGCAGCGACAAGGGTCCCCCAAGATTTCATGTTCCTTGGCAGCCTTTTCGGAAGGGAAGACGCGGGTTCAGCTGCTGAAATGATCGCGTGCGAGCCAGGCAGCCTGGAGAAAACTTTGCATGTTAAATAGCTGCATCGCAGAGGAGGGAAAGTGTCAAAAGGGGTCGCGGCTCGCTGTGGACAGGCTCCCGGGCTAGGCATGGTGACACAGGCCAGCGATGGTGCGACAGCTCCGGGTCTCCCGCCTCTCTCCTCGCAGCTCCGGTATAGCTTCTGGTATACTTGAACCTTGATATTACACACACACACACACACACACACACACACACACACACACCCACAGGCACAAATCAGGCTGTCCCGGTTCTGCTTTTGTTAGGATGTTTGGTTCACTATCTCTGGGAAAAACAGCATCCACACCTCACCGGGCAATTTATTTCAGTGTTTTTTTCCCCTCCCACATGGAAATTGAAGGACTTCAGTGGCATTTAACCCACATATCAAACCATCTTCCCCATGACAACAGATGGTGGTGTCAGTGGGGAATCAGTTGAGGTCAACAGTTGACAGTCAGGAGTTGGATAGCCACCAGAACTTTATTTGGCTGTGCACGGTGCACCGGTTTAATGCAGGAAGTTAGAACCAATGGCTTTGCAAAAACAAACTGTATAACTAGCCATTCCCACTGGGAGAAGGCTGCTTTTTCACGAGTATTCATCTGGCAAGACACATCCCGATAAATGAAGTGTTGTCGAAGCTGCAAGGGGCAGACCAGCTCTTTAATGCAAACGGAGAGGAAAGCGGGCTCTGGGCTGGGCTTGGCTGGAGGGGCACTGGGGGTGATATTGTGTAACTGTGCATGGAAAGTTGCCCAGATTTCAAGCTGGCTGAAGTTTGTGCACTAACCTGTACGCAGAGCTGGAGAAAATCATTAATAATTAAAAAAAAAATTGTCTTCATGGTATCTGGGAGATTTTCTAATGGGGAGGGGTAACAGAACTAATGTATGCTTTTATACTTAATCAGGGACATTTGCCTCCCAGCCAAGCCTTAAAACCCCTTTCTAAGCTGTTGTTTACTAGTAAGTGGTGTCCAAGAAGCCAGATAAAAATCCACTCACAAGTGCTTGATGCCGCAGGAGACCAAGATGACAGTGTAAATAGGGATGGGAAAACCAAATAGTTCTGTTGTCAGGGGCGCTTAAACAATTAGGAGAGACCTGTAACTCGAGACACTTCCCCTCGGGGCTTGCTCTTGTTACTCTCTCAACAAACTGTAAACAGCAAAAAGGTGTGTGTGTGTGTGTGTGTGTGTGTGTGTGTGTGTGTGTGTGTGTGTGTGTTGTATTGAAGGGTAAAGACTGAAGTTTAATCAATGTTAATCGAAGTGTTTAGCTCTAGAATGAATAGAAGACTGTAATTTGTAAAGATTTGACGAAGTTCTTTGGCTCCATTCTTGGTTTGCTTGTTTATTCTTAGGCTAGTTTGACACCTTAGCCCAGGTTGACCTCGAACTCTCAGCCGAGGCTTGGTGCTGCAGGCAGTGGTGCTGCCTTGCAGGGCTCGGGCAGGTGCTCGCTCCGAGGTCCCTCTGCTCCCGTCGCACCTCCCCTGGGCTCACTGCCTCGCTCTCTCCCGCAGCTCCTCCGCCGCACCGAAAGCCGGGGGCCCGGGAAACGCCGGGCCCGCCCGCGCAGCCGCTGCCGGAGTTCGCGCGCCGGCCGCGAGCCGCGGACGCAGGGCCGCGCGCCTGGCCGGAGCCCCGGCGCCGGAAGCCCGCGCCACCAGCTGACAACCGCGCCGGCTTCCGGGATGCGGCGCGCGCGCCCGCAGGGCTCCCGGGCCCGCGCCTCACTCAGGCGGAGAACCGCGCGTCCTCGCCGGAGGACTCCCCGCGGCGCGCGCGCTCTCGGGCCCCGCGACCCCAGGGCGCGCGCGCCGCTGGCCCCGCCCACCCGAACCGGCCGCGCGCCGCCGCGCAGCCCTCTGGAAGCCCGCGCGCGCTGCCGCCCGAGGACGCCGAGCTGGAGCCCCAGTCGTGCGCGCGCGCATGCAGCGGGGACGCGGACGAGCGCGAGGCCTACTGCGCCAGCGAATTCGGTGAGCGCACGCACCCTCCCGGGAGCCCGCGCGCCCGTCCCCACCCTGGCGCTAGTTGTAATGCTTTTCTCCAAATCCCGTTTGCTCAAAGCAGCCGTGAACGGAATCGTGCACGACGTGGACGTGCTAGGCGCGGGCCTGCGGCTGGTGACTCTACTGGTGGACCCCGAAGGGCTGTACAAGATGAGCCGCCTGTACATCACTCCCGACGGCTTTTTCTTCCGCGTGCATATACTAGCCCTGGACTCTTCCAGTTGCCATAAGCCGTGTCCAGAACTTAAACCTGGTATCGAAACTGACCCAAAAGACCAGCTCATACATGTCCTTTATTTATTTAGTTTCTCCAGACAGGGTTTCTCTGTAGCCCTGGCTGTCCTCGAACTCAGAGATCTGCCTGTCTCTGCCTCCCGAGTGCTGGGATTAAAGGTGTGCACCACCATCCCGGCTGTATGTGTCCTTTATTCTGCTGTTGGGGACTTGAATGCTGCAGCCCAATTTCTGTTGGTTACCATACCCCCCAACCCCCATTTCAAAGACTAGGGATTGAGCAGGGTCTCACACGTGCCAGGCAAGCACACCATCCGTTACACTCCCAGAATTTGTATGAGCTAGGCTGTTGATATGGAGCCCACACTGGCCTCGAACTCATGGCAGTCCTGCTTAAAGACATGCTAGGATACTGGTGGGGCTCAGTCCAAGCTTTGTGGGCCAGTAGTGTAACCAATAGAATTTAGATTACAGTACCATGTCAGCTCTCTTTCAGCTCCCCCATAAAGATAAGAACAGCGATTGGCACAAAATAGGCCAGGATTGATCGGGTACACCTGCTACTTCAATACCCAGGAGGGATTTGGAGGCAGGAGGATCAGAACTTCAAGGTCATCCTCCACATATAGAGTTCAAGGCCAGCTTTGGCTAATATACATTCTCAAAAGAAAAAAACCCAAACATAAAAAAAAAACGCTGGGCATGATGGCACATGCCTTGAACCTCAGCATTTGGAAGGCAGCAGCAGGTAGATCTACATGAGTTCGAGGCCAGCTTGGTACCAGGACAGCCAGGGCTACACAGAGAAACCTTGTCTCTAAAAACCAGCCAACCAACCCAAACCAAAGCATCCCAAACACTGGTATGTTGACACATATTCATGAGAAAACACCATTTTCTTTCCCCCCCTTAAGTGCGTGCATTTATTTATTTACGAGTACTCTGTATGTATGCTTGCATTACAGAAGATCCCTTTAGAGATGGTTGTGAGCCACCATGTGGTTGCTGGAAATTGAACTCAGGGCCTCTAGTGCTCAGGACAGCTAGTGCTCTTAACTGCTGAGCCATCTCTCCAGCCTCAAAACACCATTTTCAAGAGTAGTGAATCAGGAACTCAACTGTACAGCACTGAGTTGAGAAAGGCCTTTTTGGGGTTGGTGTAGTGTTGGGGCTACCTGTTGTCATTTCTCCCTGGAGATGTTCTGGGGCAGACAGGGCTTTGTTCTGTAATGTTGGCTGTCAGCAGGTTATCCTTTCTTTAGATTGTCCACCTGTTGCCTATAGGTTAGATAAGTTGCCACGTGCATAGCAAGATAGAGTCAAGCTCAGATCTCACATTTCTTGGCATGTAAATGACACCATTTCTCTTCTGGTTCTTTTGTTTAGGAAGCCGGTATATTGTGATGGGCCACATCTACCATAAGAGACGGCAGCTCCCTACTGCTCTGCTCCAGGTCCTGAGAGGGCGCCTGCGGCCAGGAGACGGACTGCTCAGGGGTAGCAGCAGCTACGTGAAAAGATTTAACCGAAAACGGGAGTGGCAAGTTCGAGGTGCCACCCACACCCAGTGCATTTGAACAGACCAGCCTGGCACCTGTGGGTCCCAAGAGACTTGGAACTCAGCAGGAAGACACAGAAGGTGGTCCGTCACAGCAGGGGTCCTTCTGTCTGAAATTGGGTCCACAGCTGGCTACCTTAAGAACTTGTGCAGCTTAGCTCTAAAGCTGCCACTTTATTTACAAAACGCTGACAAGCTATGCTCCAGAGCACAGTGGGAAAGTTACAGTGACACACACACACAGCTCAGACAGCTGGCCTGCCAGGTCAACGGATCACACACTTCGTGTTGTTTTTAAGTTATTTTAATTTAATACATTTTTTTTCAGTAGAAATAGTTCACAAAACATTTCTTGAATTTAAATATACAACTTTGAATAGTATCTATCATGTGTCAAGATTTTGTATTTAAAGCATCGAGTTTTAAATTCCACACATGAGAGTAAACATCCCTGTCAGAATTCATTTACATATGAAATGTCACTTAGATCATACACTAGGGTCAGAACCCAGGCCAAGTATGAAAATTATGTTTCAAGGGCTAATTCAAGCAAACTATCATTCCAAGAGTGTTCCTGATGTAACTCTGGGCACTGTCATGCACCCCTGCTCCGAATACCTTGTTTTGTACCAGACTGGCATCTATTCCAGCATTTTCTGGTGTATCTGATGTCATTTTTCTGTTAGGACTCAGGATCACCATTGTGTTTGTAAAGCAGTAAATCTTGCCTTGAAATCAGATCTTGGATGCACCTGGCTCTTTTTTTCTTTTTCTCAGTGATCCTGAAGATTTGAGAAAAAGCTTTTCTCAAGCTTACTTCCCAAACCCCGAGAACAGTGTTGATCAGAGACAGTGCACAGGCTGGTTTCATGGAGCCATTTCGTTATGTGTGGAAAACCTTCAGTCACTAGCTCAATTTAATTACCTTATCCTCGAGTCCACAAGGCCATCCTGATTTTCTTTCAGATGGTCAGGCTGTACTTCAGTTAATTTCAGAATAGAAGCTAAGAATGTACGAACCTTCAGTCCCCGTCCTGGAGAGGCAGAGGCAGAGGCAGGTGGTTATCTGTGACTTCCAGGCCAGCCAGAGCCACAGTGAGAACTGTCAAAGGGAAGACAGAGGAACATGGAGAGTTGACTGGGAAGCCAGCAGCAATAGCTTAGGACACAATGTGTAGCCAGATGTGGTGATGTCTGAGGGTGTGTGTGCGTGCGTGCGTCAAGAGTTCAAGGCCAACCTGAGCTACAGGAAACCTTGTCTCAAAGAAGAATATGCTGCTGGGGGAGGTGGCACACACCTTTAGTCCCAGCACTGAAGAAGCAGAGGCAGGCGGATCTCTGTGAGTTTGAGGCCAGCCTAGTCGACAGAGTGAGTTCCAGGACAGCCTGTCTGGGGGGCGGGGGAGCTATGTGCAGTATGGTAACTGTTGCCTCTTTGGCCTCAGACATGGGAAACATGAGTAAAATAAAGCTGAAAGATTCTACTTTGTGGTAAAGCATTATGAAGGGACTTTTTTGGGCCTGTACTTGCTGTAGAAGCCAGCTGGCCCTATACTCAAGCTCACGGACAAACGAAGGGCACTCACTGCAGACTCTCTGCAACTGTATCTCAGACTCCCAGCTGGTCCGTTAGAGAATTTTCCAAAGATGAAACGTGCCCAAATTCATTAAAATCTTTTTTTTTGTTTTTGAATGCTAAGGATGGTAGAGTAAGCCTATAATGCTTACTCAGGAGGTAGAGGCAGGATGATGGTAAAGGTCATCCTTGGCTACATAGTGTGAGGCCAGCCTGGGCTACAAGAGACTCTGGCCCAGAAAGGGAAAGTGGGGTCTTGAAAGATTGCAGTTGTTAAGATCCTTACTGCTCTTACAGAGGACTGGAGTCCAGATCCTAGCATCTATATCACGTGGCTCTCAATCCCCTGTACCTCTAGCTCTAGGGCATCTGGCACGCTCTTCTGGCCCCCTTGGGCACCTGTGCACACACCTCCCGAAAGGCACATACACATAAAAACACCAGTGTCAGACCCCCAGGTTCAATATACTTGGAGGTCAGGATTACTGCGGAAATGCAGGCCACTTGTTGTAGATACTGCCGGGATAAAAAATAAAAGCCACCACTCAAGACTGGGTCTACAAGGCAAGGCTAGTGAGGTTCTGTGGAAAAGGAGACAGAAAGAACCCTGGAAATTCCAGGTTAGCAAAGAGGTTGGAAGAATCACGTTTTCCACATTCACACAGGACCTTGGTTGCAATTTCTAATTTTATAGAAAAACTTAATGAGCAAATCATTGTTGTCTCTAATCCTCTTGTCCCATTGATAGATTCTACAATCCCATCCCCCAGTACATGGGTCAGTGCTGCAAAGACAAAAAAGCCCTTCGTGTTTATGTACACACACAATACTCCCCAGCAATACAATACCCAGCTGCCTTCAAGGTAATTCAACAGTATCTGTCCTTCAAATTAAGCTGGTACTTCAAGGATTCAAGAAGGGAAAAGGACATGGTTTTCTTTTGTTAGGGGAAGGTCTATAAGACAATCTCCCTCCTCCTCCTGGTGTGTGTGATACTAAGTTATAAAAACTGCCTCTGAATATCATATGGCATTGTGCAATTCTCTTCTGAACTCATTTTTAAGGTGACCAGGTGAATGCATGTGCAAGACTTCTGGCAGGGCACTCTCTAGTGCGTGGTCTCTTCCACTCTGAAAATACAGTATTTTGTTAGTTGAAGTTTGGTTTACACTGGATCAAGGGGTATACTATTCTCAGAAAATATCTTTCCCAAAATCTCATTCTATGTATCTAAAAATTCCTCAAACTACACCAGATGACTAGAATCCCCCTTCCCCTTGTCCCCACCCCCATGGACACATCAGCCAGTACCTTGCTCAGGAGAGAATGACACTCCTAAGTTCAAGGCCCTGCTGGGGATCTGCCTCCACTGGGACAAGAGTGAACCACAGGGGCTGCAGAGATGGCTCAGCAGTTAAAAATCACTGGCTGCTCTTGCAGAGGACCTGGGTTCAGTTCCTAGCACCCACCTGGTGGCTTACAACCTTAGTAAACTCCAGTTCCAGGGAATCCAATATCCTCTTCTGATCCCCATGGACATCAGGCAGGCACACACACACACACGCACACGCACACGCACACGCACATGCACACGCACACACGCAGTAAATGTTATCGGCTGAGTGTATGGCTCTTACATCAATTAGAAACGCGAGAACCAAGATCTGACCTGACACAAATGGACAGAGACAGGGAAAGAAGTTTTATTTGCAGATCGCAAGAGGAAAGGTTACAAACAGCAACACATTGTCAGGGTTCCTACACAGCACTCCAGGCCACTCCAAATAGAAAAAGGTCATTTTTACTGTAGAAACATCTCCAAAAGATCACAATTTCATTGACCTACTGTAGGACAGTAATACAAACCCGGAAGAATTTGCTCAGGAGAAAAAAGCCTTACAGACATTATGAAAATATCTCTTATGAAATGGTCTCAAATTGTGAATTTGGAGATGAAGCACAGGAAATGCTAAAAATACTTTTAGCCAAAGAAATCTATCAAAGCAAAGAACGTACAGATTATAGGTGCAAAGCCTGGGCAGAAACATCCTAACCACATCACCAGTGTGCATCGGACCACTCAGGCTGCCAAAGCAAACAGTTTAACTTTTCTCTGAGTAGCAGAAGTTCCTCAAATCAGATTCATAGAAAAGCAGCTTGTGAAATAAGAATGTACGTTTTTCAAAAATTCCTTTTGAAAGACTAAAGCTCTATAGTCTGATAAAATTATAAAATGTCTTTATATGGTGATAGAAATTGCAAAAGTCTTTATACCATTAAGTACACAATATGAAATTAACATCTTCCCAGTCTCAGAAATCCACAGCCCACCCCCCGTTCTGTACAACTTGGCAATGCCAACAGCTACAGAAAATGTATCAAACAGTGAACCAACCAACCATTGTTTCATTAGAAACTGCACAGAATCCAATGTCAAAAACATTACTTTATTTATTTTTTTAGGATGAAATGTCCTATTACGTACAAAAAGAATTATTTAGAATTTGCTACAATTTGTTAAAAACATAGCAATCTATTGCCTACAGGTAGGAAAGCTCTTGCTGCAACAAGCTGACGTGACTGAGCCCATATATACCGAGATATATGAAGAGATAGTACAGGAATACTGCGGTGTGGCTAGATGCAGAATCACTTTCTATCATTAAAGTGTAGAATTCTTGCATCAGCACAGTGCTTACAACATGGAACATTTGCTTTCTGTAAACTAAAAGGACAAAATAGCCTGTATTTAACTACTTCCACCTTAATAGTTTAAGCAAAAACTTTGTTACCATATTGAGCAGTTAGTCTCTTTAGCCATGAGCACAGGCTAAAAAGACATCTTTATGTACAGAGGGAGTGAGTTCAACAGAGCGCGTGAACCCAGAAGAACCTGTACACCTGAGCCTGGAAGAAGAATTGCCAACTGTTGCCACAGTTTCCTTTTGAGAAACCAGGGGCTGGGGAAGGCTTTGCATAGCAGGGTGACACCAAACAAACAAAAGCCAGGTAGATTCTAAACTCAGCAGGACAAGGCTAATGTGGACTAGTGCAAAGTCTAGGAAAACATCTGCGAAGCTGCACAACCCAACTCCGGCTGGTCTTCCCAACAGCACAAGGGGAAGGTGGTAACACTAGCAGGAGGCACATGCAGAACACACCTGTCTGCTCTACCCTGCACCCTGCTCATGGGACGCTGCCCTACAGCAACAACAGAACCCAAAGAACCCAACCAACACAAAGGAGAGGCCAAGGTCATCTAAACGCCTTCCCTCCATAGGGAGCTGGCTGTCTGTGACTGGTAGTTTGCCTAGAATCACAAATGGTAGGGATGAAGGTAATGTACTGTGTCATATTCCTGTTATTAGAGGTATGGCCAACTGATACATGGGCTCAGCTCCCTAGAGATTTTCTCTGATGTGATGACTGGGACTTATGAAAAAGGCCTCTGCTCTACTGGAGAAACTCAGGCCTCCTGCCTGTGATTCCTGGTGGCCCTCCCTCTCCCCACAAGGGCTTACAAGTAATATTAGCGCACATTCAAAGAGACCTCCATCTGTGGGAGAAAAATTATCTCCATTTATTTCGGTTCATATACATCCATAGTTGAATTTTAATACAAAAAGAAAAAAATTAGAATCTGACAAAATGTTTACAAACAAGATCCCTTCAAATAGATTCTGCTCATTTAGCCTGGTGCAGAGTAAATGACAATTTGTACTGGTGTATTCAAGGCAACGAAGTCTGTAGTCCAGGACCACTTATCCCAGCCTTTCTGCACGCCTCATCTGTGTCTACCATGAACAATAAACTCATTGTTGATTCCCAGTTGTGTGTGCACATGTGTACATAGCAGCTCCTTTCATAGAAAGAAAAGACATCTAGAGGTCGCCTTGTACTTCACCTACAGGAATCATGATAAGATATAGGATGGATACATGTAACCAGGGCTGGATTTTATAAGAAAAAATAATTAGCTGACAAATGAGGGCAGCAATAAAAAAGCGTCTTTTTTGCAACAATAAATAAATACAGTCAGAAAGGTTTCTGTGACTCTAAGCAGCTTCTTCACTGAAGAGCGGACGTGGCATTTCCACGGAGTCACACTTGACCCCATAGTGTCTTTTTTTTTCTTGCTTTTTCTTTTTTTTTTCAATAAACA